GGAGCCCCAGGGGGCCGGCTCCAGGCGGGCAGCGGGCTGAGCAGCCATGAGGAGGAGCGCCGTCACCGGGCCCCGCAGAGCGGCACTCAGAGAGGCCGCCACCCACACTCCGTGGCTCCCCCACAGACGCCGCACACAGAGGCCGCCACCCACACTCCGTGGCTCCCCCACAGACGCCGCACACAGAGGCCGCCACCCACACTCCGTGGCTCCCCCACAGACGCCGCACACAGAGGCCACCCACACTCCGTGGCTCCGCCACAGACGCCGCACACAGAGGCCATCACCCACACTCCGTGGCTCCCCCACAGACGCCGCACACAGAGGCCGCCACCCACACTCCGTGGCTCCCCCACAGACGCCGCACACAGAGGCCGCCACCCACTCTCCGTGGCTCCCCCACAGACGCCGCACACAGAGGCCACCCACACTCCGTGGGCTCCCCCACAGACGCCACTGGGCGAGCAGCAGGACACGGTGGAGCCGCACAGGAAAGTGACAGTCACACTGCACTGGATTCTCGGGGTCGACGAGGGGAGCAATGCCGGAGGTGGGGGCAGGTCCTTTTCCGCAGAAACCACCGAGCTCTCGAGTTAACTATTCCCCGCACACGGGGGGGTGCGGGTAGAGGGCCCCGAGAAGTTCTGCAAACCCTGTGAGGGCGCTGGCTTCACCTTCCCTGACTCCCAATGTCACTGCTCCCGGGGTGCTCTGCTGTTCGTTAAATCCCGACAATGAGCTGGGTCGGGTGAAAACAGCAAATCTGCTATTTCTGGAACTCTCCCGTCCTCCAGGCAGCTCGGTGCTGTGGTTGAATAGACACTGAGATCCAGACGGGTCAATCCTGGCCGCCATTCCTGCCCGGGCCGGGCTGGTCCGACGCACGGCCGCCTCCCAGGGCTCAGTGCACAGCCAGGCCCGGGAGCGTGTGCCGGCCACCTGCTGACCAGGCAGGGACAGCCCCAGGAGCCAGCCACGCACGGTGTCTGGGGGAACCACATGCAGCCGCACGCTCCCCGCTCCCCAAGGCTTGCCCCAATCCTGGCGCCAGGGAGCTCCGAGCAGCGAAGCTGCCCACAGCACTCACTGCGGGCAAAGGCACGGCCTGAGCACCCGCTGTCCGGGGCTGATGTAACCCTCCTGACGACGGCCCAGCACAGGGCAGCGGCGGGCAGCCCGGGTCGCGGAAGGCAGCTCTCGTCACCTGCTATGGGAACAACCCTCCAATTATGGCATTGCTGTCATTCAAAAAGCAGCTGCTTCTGGCGACGCCCCGTCTGACAACCCTTTTGCATGAAGAACATTCTCACTGAGGAATCACCGACATGTGCTTCCATTCGTGTCAGGCACACGACACAGGGTCCGGTACGTGTGTGGCTGGAAAGGCCCCCCACAGCACGGGAGCAGCCACACCCCACAGCTCCCCTTTCTCTTTGCTGTGACCCCTCAGCTCCCCTTTCTCTTTGCTGTGACCCCTCAGCTCCCCTTTCTCTTTGCTGTGACGAGGGCTTTAAGACAGATCAGTGACCGTCACCCAGGCTGTGTGTGGCCACCTGCCGCCCCATGCTGCACCCCCCCAGGACGCAGGCACCGCCCCGGGGCTGCACCTTGGAGCCCTGCGCCTATTCGCACAGCGAGCCCCTCGGGCGCCCCCTCTCTGCTCTGTGTCTGACAGCGGGGTGCTTGCTCTGCCTCTGGGTTTGGCTCTCCATTCCCCACGGGAGGGAGAGTCCTCGCTATCTTTCTCTGCCTGGATCTTTCTCTTCGCATGAGGCCCTCAAGGTCCATCCTTGTCACAAATGTCCTCGCTTCCTATGGCTGAGTGATGTTCCTGTGTGTGTGTACGCGCACGTGTGTGTGTGCATGTGCGCGCATGCACGTGTATGTGTATGTGTGCACGTGCACGTGTGTGCCATTTTCTCTCTCTGCTCACCCTCTGACAGGCGCTGGGCTGTTGCCATGTCCTGCCGACTGCAAATAACCCTTTGATGGACTTGGGGTGCTGCCATTTTCTCCGCATAAACACCAAGAAGCAGAGCTGCTAATTCGCGTGCAGCTCGTTTGCATTAAGGACTCTTAAGGCGGCTCTCACGCTGTGAATATACTCTGTACTAACACTGCTGAACTGTGCACTTCAAAACGCTTAGTTAATGCTATGTGAGGTTCACCTCAACTTCAAACCTGTTTACTTGAGAAGGTGGTGACTCTCCTGCCATGTGCACATGTGCCCGGTGCACACGTGTGGGTGAAAGGGCTGCACCTGGGCGTGTCACCTGCCCCCTGCGCTCCAGCATGTGCACCGCAGAGGGACGTCTCACAGGGGCAGGGGCACACGCAGGCGCCGGAGCCACCTGCACACACCGGGCACTTCCGGAAGGGGAAGGGGGCGCTGCTGGAGGTGTCGGTGTCCCACCTGGGCCTCCGCCGTCACGTGAGTGTGTAAACGTTGCAGAGTGCTGCCTTCTCAAGTGAAAACAGCCGAGTAGACAGAGTAAGAATGAGTATTACCATCCCCCAAACTGGCAGTGCCGACCTGTGTACGCATCCCCCTCCATCCCTGCCCAGGGCACAGGGCACCTGCTCTCTGTGTGGTTCATATTGCTTTTTTTTTTTCCCTTATTAGTTCTTTCTTTCTTTCTTTCTCCAGAAGATGTTTCTCTTGATTTTGTTTTTTTTGATTTGTTTTGTTTTGTGTGTTTTTTTTAAATATATATTTTATTGATTTTTGTACAGAGAGGAAGGGAGAGATATAGAGACCTAGAAACATCGATGAGAGAGAGTCATCGATCAGCTGCCTCTTGCACACCCCCTACTGGGGATATGCCCACAACCAAGGTACATGCCCTTGACCGGAATCGAACCCGGGACCCTTCAGTCCCCAAGCCGACGCTCTTATCCATTGAGCCAAACCGGTCTCGGCATGTTTCTCTTATTTTGAAGAGAATGGAAGAGAGAGGGAAAGACAGAGAGAAACACGGATGTAAGAGAGACACACCCATTTGCTGCCTCTTGCGCGCCCCCGACCAGAGCCCGGGCCGGGGAGGAGCCTGCACCAGGTACGTGCCCTTGACTGGGATCGAACCCGGACCCGTCGGTCCGCAGGCCGACGCTCTGTCCACTGAGCCACACTGGCTGGGGCTGTGTTACACTTTCTGAGTGCTGTGAAGGATGTCTAGGTTTTGATTAAGCATATAAATTAAATGTTGACTTAGACAGAAATACAATTTTAACAACCATTTTAAGTAAAGATCATTTTGAAAACATTATGCAGCCATTAAAAGTGATGGTTATGAAGACTAGCAACAGGGGGAAGGCTTACGACATAATATTAACTGGAAAAAACGGGTAACAAATCACCTCTACGTTCTCGCCGCCTCTCCGGAGAAGGGGTCTACAGAGGACAGTGCTGGCCACGCAGAGCCGCGTGGCCGGCCCTGTGGCACCGCCAGGCCATCTCCTCAGCTTCCAGCCCGCCATCACCAACCCCCCTGCACCCGTGCGGAGACGGGACCAGAGGACGGGAAAACCGAACAGAACCAGGCCCCGCGGGTAGTGAACGGCGAAGTGTGCCAGGCCTGCTGTGCCCCTAAGCCCACCGTGTGGCCGCACTGCGAACAGCGGAGGGAGCACCCCCACACAGACCCATGTCAGGCCGAACCCACTCCACAAGCCGGGCGCTGCTCCGGGGTCACAGAGGTGAGAGACTTGGCAGCAGACGCCATGCCCAGCCCCACTCCAGACCGGAAGGGAGGAAAGGCCGTCCCGGGACAATGGCCCAGGGGCATGGCCGTGGACAGTGCCCACCGATGAAGGCTCACAGCGACGTCCTCAGGGGCGAGGGGCCACGGAAACCTGTGCACACAGCACAGAGGTCACAGGAAGGGGCGAACCGGGAACCGCGGGTGCGCCTGGCAAGCACTGCTCCTGCAACGCGTCTGTGAGCGTGACCTGGCCCTGAAGGTCATGTGACGCATGCACATCTGCAGGAAGATGCTGGCACCAGCACGGGAGGGGCCGGGGCAGGAGGACCCAGGCCACCTACAGTCCGCACTGCACCCGTGTCCCACGTGCGCATGTGCCAAAGCAGAGGAGAGGCAAGCCCAGGAGAATGGCCCCGGACAGCAGCATCTCACACCACAAGCCTCCAGCCCGCGGCTGCCTCGGCTTTGGCCAGACTCCATCCTCCCCGAGCCCCCAGCAGCTCCTTGCTGTCTATCCACGGGCCTCACGCGCCACCTGGTGGCCGCACAGGGCACTGCCGGCCTCAGGGCTCTGAGCTCCACTCTGGCCTCTGCCCGCCAGGAGACCTGGTGCCCATCCTGAACACTCCAGCCCCGCAGAACAGCAAGACAAGGCGACCAGGACACTCCCGCCCCAGCCTGGGGAGGGCTCCACAGGGAGACGTAGTGAGGGCGTGACCCGAGGGGCTTCCAGAAGACGAAAGTGAGCAGAGCCTCAGAGCATCCACACGGCGCTACGACCCACAAGCACACACTGCTGACCGCACCGTCCTCCCTGACCATACCGCCCCTGCTGGCCACATGGCCGCTGCTGGCCGCACCACCCCTGCTGACCGCACCACCCCTGCTGGCCGCCACCACCCCTGCTGGCCGCACCACCCCTGCTGGCTGCACCACCCCTGCTGGCCGCACCACCCCTGCTGGCCGCTGCTGGCCATGGCCCCCTGCAGGGCCGTAGCCATCACACTCGGCCCCCACGGGGAGGCCAAGCAGAGAGGCACAGAGGCGATGGCCAAGACGCCAGTGACCGCGCCCAGGCACAGTGCGCGGCCGGTCCACTGCTCAGCAGGCAGAGCTGACCAGTGGCCCTCTGAGGCCGGGGAGGGCACCGGGTTAAGGAAAAGAACAGGAAGTCCGTGATGGAGTCGCACGGAAGCACATGGCCACTACGAGCAACGAGGGGAGTGACAGGAAAGCAAGAGCAGCAGGTGCCGCGGACGGACGGCTCCTCTGGGAACCGCCTCCCTCGGAACCACTCACCCAGGTCCGTGTTGGGGCCGGCCAGGAGCTGCTTGAACTTGTCCAGCCGGAAGGCCTCCCTCTCGCTCAGCGCCGAGCTGCTGAGGGTCCCAGGGTCGGGAGGGCCGCCCAGGGCTGCGCTGGCCGCCTGCGGGAGCGACTGGGACCTGTGCAGAGGGGCAGGGCCGCTGGCACTCTCTGCGGGGAGAGAAGAGGGTGAGGGTGGGGAGAGCGGCCATGAGCCACCTTCCCGTGAACACTGTGGGTCCATGTCCCTCCCACAGCGCTGCGGGGGCAGATCTGGTCTCCGAGCAGCACTGACCCCGCTATCCCGTACGAGGTCACCTAACTCTGCTGGCCCAGCGTCACCCCCAGTGACAGACACGCCCGCAGAATAGCAGGAAAGACAACCAGAACACTCTGACCTTGGGCCTGACAGCGGCCAGAACACCCCCATCGGGCTGCGGGGTGGCACAGCCGGAGGATCTGTGAGCGCGGCCAGAGGAGGGGCCTGAGCCACAGGAAAGCCCGTCACCCATGAAGGGGCCGCGGCACGGGGAGCACTGAGGACAGCGGGCAGAGGCTAGGGCTTCCCAGCGACCAGGACGCTGTGTGAGCAGCATCACCGCGCAGGCTCCTGCCCCGCCTGGCCTCCCAGGTCTCCGCGCCAGGAGGAGCAGAGCCCGCTGCTGCAGACGGAGGGCGTGAGCACTGCGTGCCCCTCCCCAGGGGGCGGGGCCTGTGCCCACGGAGACACCTGCAGGGTGAGGAGAGAGCACGCCGCCTCAGCAGCCAGAACCAGCGAGAGCCAAACGGAAGAGCCATAGGCCTTCAGGTGCCTGGACAGAGCCGCCGAGACCCACAGGGGCCAGCAGCAAGAGGCCGGCGGGCTGAGCCCGCAGCTGAGCCTGCAGCTGTCCCATCCTCCAGCAGAAAGTGAGCGTGAGTGAGAACAGTGCCTGGAAACGGGCGAGGAACCCCGGAGGAAGGTGCTGACGCCTGCGAGTGGTAGCTGCCGCCAGGCCGGGGGGAGGCGGGGGAGGCAGGGGAGGCAGGGGAGGCAGGGGAGGCGGGGGAGGTGGCACCCACAGCTCCTGGGCCCCGAGTGAGCTCATTACGGAAGGGGAGGGGAAGGCTTCGCACAGGAGCCCTCAGGCACGGACGGCATCCGCGGCCTCGGGCAGAGTCTGGCCCAGATAAGCTTCCAGAAAAGCCTGCGAAGTGGGCAGAACAGGGACACCCCCACTGCCTGAGGAGCAAAGTGGACAGAGCAGAGAGCACCCCCACTGCCTGGGGAGCAAAGTGGACAGAGCAGAGAGCACCCCCACTCCCCTGGGGAGCAAAGTGGACAGAGCAGAGAGCTGGGGGAGGGGGCAGGACACAGTAGGAGGCCGTGGTCCCCAGGCCCTGAGGACAGCACTAGGGAAGGACAGCGGACGCCAACAGAAACGGACCGGAACGAGGCCCGTCTTCTGGAACTCGCAGACGAGGCTGCAGACCAACGTGAACCTCCTCAGGGGCAGGAGGCTGACCTGCTGGGGGACTCCCCGCCGGAAGGCTCACCCTGGAGCCCCAGGCGTCCTTTCACCCATGCCCCCGCTTCCACGAGACCATGCCAGGCTCCCACGCCGGGTGCTGCTGGATCCTGTCCGCCACCGTGTCCCATCTGTCTCACGGAAATGAGAACACAGAGTGCCAGCTGGCACACATGGGCAGCCTCCCCGTGCCAGCACCGGGTCCCCGAGAACCAGGCCTGCCGTGTTCTCCTTCGTGCCACCGCTGAAGACACGCTGGGGGCCTGGCACCAGCAGGTCCGTCCCCAGAGGACCAGGAGCACCGACGGCAGAGCAGGCTGGCGCGCCTCTCGCCCTGCTGTGCTCCTGCAGGGGGAGCTCCCCGTGGGCGGCCCATCCTGTGACCCCTGGCCTGCGCCCACGGCGTGCAGCGGCCACACCGGCCCCAATGTGACAACCAAAAATGTCTGGGACCCGGCCCGTAACCCCGGGGCAGAACTGCTTTCCAGGGGTGGCCAGAGAGGCCGAGAGCCGGCCCAGAGCTGACCTGCTTCTGCCGGGGAGCCTGCTGGCCCGGATGACGCCCTTCAGGCCTCAGGGCAGGGCTCCTGCTGCCCAGGGAAGGGCCCTCCCTGCGGGGTGCACCCCAGCTTGCGCCCAGCCCACCTGCAGGCCCGGGCGTGTGGCTCTCGCTGACGGACTTCACCAGCCGCAGGTCCCCACTGGCGACCGGAGGCGGCTCTGTCGCAGGCGTGGGCTCCGGCCCGGGGCTCGGGGGCTCCTGCAGCTGGTGCTGCTCCCGCCCGGGCCCCGGGGGCTCCTGCAGCTGGTGCTGCTCCCGCCGCTGGCTGTGGTCGCGCAGGACGCGGTGGGCCGTCTCCATGACCACCTCCGAGTTCAGGCTCTCGGCCGCCATGGCCAGGAGCTCGTCGTCGTCCTCGCCCGCATCCCAGGCGTCGCTGGTGTTGCTCTCAAACTCCTGGAAGGTGCTGCCTCGCTTGGCCTTCACGGGCGTGGCGGGCGCCTTGGGCGTGGCCTTGAGCAAGCTGCAAGGCAAGGCCGTCACTGGCCCGGAGCCCGAGCTCTCCCGGCAGAGGGAGCCCGGGGAGCACACTCCGCTGTCCCTCCCGGAGCTGGCGGAGGGGAGCGGACCAGAGCCAGCCAGGGGGCCAGGCAGGGGGACACGGTCCGAGAGCACAGGCCCGAGCCTACGGGCAGGGCCCACATTCTCTCCGCCCAGCGTCCCTGCCCCCTCCCGAGGCTGCACGATGCCCACAGTATGGCCACTGGGCCACACGTTCCTCTCGCCACCTGTGGCCAGGAATGGACACCCAGAGCCGAGGGAGCCCCGGGCAGCGGGCGGGGTGTGTGGAAAGCGAGGACACCGCTGCCCGCCGTCCACGGAGCCAGCTCCGTGTTCCCACTTCGGGCTCCGCATCTCCCCGCCCCCGGAGTGTCTCACGCGTGTGTGCTGGACGGAAGACCATGCCTCCCCCCAGGACCTCCAGGGAGCGGGAGGGCACCCAGCCCAGGACCCCAACCCCCGGAGAGCGGGCGTCACTTACGTGCCATGTAACAGCGGGTCAAAAGGGGGGTGCTGGGCGCCGTACACGTGCTGGATGCTGGTTCAAAAGGAAGGAAAGCACGTTAGCTCCTGTCGCTCCCTGGACACCGCGGCCGCGGGACCAAGGCCAGCCTGGGCACAGCCTGAGGCAAGAGCTCCGCCAGCGCCGCCCGGCCACCCGCCGGCCCGTCCAGGCCCACCCACAGCCGAGCGGGCGTCCAGCCCTCCCGCGCAGGCCGCAGCCCCAGCTGTGTCCACACAGCCTTGGGCTCCGCCACGGGGACGGCCTCGGGCTCGGCCACGGGGACGGGCCTCGGGCTCGGCCACGGGGACGGGCCTCGGGCTCGGCCACGGGGACGGGCCTCGGGCTCGGCCACGGGGACAGGGCTCAGGCACGGCCACGGGGACGGGCCTCAGGCACAGCCACGGGGACAGGGCTCAGGGACAGGGCTGCTGGAGCCGAGGGCAGTCCCGGCAGCCTCTGCACATGGCCATGTGTCACAGGCAGGACCTGACAGGCCATGAAGTGCCACAAGGAAACGCCCAGCGGGCACCGGCTGTCTAAGCCAATGCTCGAGCACAGAAGAGGCACACACCACGTTCAAAGACTCAGCGGTTTATTTAACAGCCTGACGCTCACTGGGAAAAGCTTAGAATTAGATGCAACAGCATGACCCACGCAGCAGACAACCGGGTGGTCAGCTGTGCAGCCCCGTCCTGGGCACGGCCAGCAGGGGTGGCCACGTGATCCCGCAGCTCCCTCCCTCCTAACAGAGGAGACGGCAGGGCGCGCACCCCGAGCCCGGCTTTCCCTCCTCCCGCTCCGCACACGGACGTGAGGCCCGGCACCCAGACACCCCGAGAAACACACGGAAGTAATGCCCACGACGGACGGCGGGCAGGAGGGGCCGCCCCTCAGCTTCCACGCGGGGAGCACCGGCCTGGGTGAGGCCCGGCAGGCAGACGTGCTCCCGCCGCGGTGCACGCGGGAGAGACCGCAGGACGTGCTGACGCGGCAGGGCTGGAGGACACGCAGAGCGAGCTGTCAGGCACCCAGACGGATGTTTTCATTTGTCGGAACAGAATGAGATCCCCTCTTACTTAGCAACAGTGCACGCCTAGCTCCCACATCATGCTGTCCTCCACTTCCTTAGACGCACTGACCTACTTTGCACGGCCGCTCGGCGGCTGTAAACACTCGGGCAGCATGCGTACACGTGAAAGCACAGTTCTGAGCAGGGCGGGCAGGTTCCCCCGCGTCCCCTGCGATTCCCTGGACTCCATCAGTGCTCTGAATCCAGTCTCTAAAACCTGTGCTGACGGAACGAGCGCCTGCGGACTCATCACCGCCTGACCAGCCCCTGGACAGCACACCTCCCCGCCCACTGTCCCACATGTGGCTACGCCGGGCGCAGGCGACCAGTGCCGACCGCCAGACACGCAGCTGCCATCGAGGGTTTGTGATTGCAAAGCAGCAGCCAGCACCCCGGGGACAAATGCCGGCCCCGGACTCTGCCCCTGAGGATGCGCGCCCAGGCAGGGAGGCCCGGGACAGGGGAACGCACGGCCAGGGCAGAAGGGCCGCTCCGGCAGCCCTGCCACGCTGCGGGCGCCCCAGACCTGACAGAGGAAGCAGGCTCTGCGGTGCGCCTCCACCAGGCGTGAGGGAGCAGCTCCTGCACCTTCTGCCACTGTGCCCCTGTCTACTCCCTGCCAGGCCCGCCCATCCCCGAGGGGCGCCACCTGTCTTACTGGCTCCCAAACCTTCCTGGAGCCAGAGGACTCCTCTGTCATTCAGGCCGAGTGGCCAGCAGAGCAAGGGCCCTGGCGGATGTCACATCCAGACTCCAGAACCTGTGCTGTCGCCTCGGGGTGTGCATGAGGCTAACCGTGGAGCTGGTCCTGGAGGACCCAGAGGGCCCAACCCAATCCCAGGTCCCTCCGGGGGCCTTTCCCGGTGCGTGGAGCAGCGCGTGGAGCCGTGTGTGGAGCCGTGTGTGCAGCGGCGTGTGGAGCCGTGTGTGGAGCGGCGTGTGGAGCCGTGCATGGAGCCGTGTGTGTAAAGCCGTGTGTGGAGCGGCGTGTGAAGCCGTGTGTGGAGCCGTGTGTGCAGCGGCGTGTGGAGCCGTGTGTGGAGCCGTGTGTGGAGCGGCGTGTGGAGCCGTGTGTGGAGCCGTGTGTGGAGCGGCGTGTGGAGCGGCGTGAGGAGCGGCGTGTGGAGCCGTGCGTGGAGCAGCACGTGGAGCCGTGTGTGGAGCCGTGTGTGCAGCCGTGTGTGCAGCGGCGTGTGGAGCCGTGTGTGGAGCCGTGTGTGGAGCAGCATGTGGAGCCGTGTGTGGAGCCGTGTGTGGAGCGGTGTGTGGAGCCGTGTGTGGAGCGGCGTGTGGAGCCGTGCATGGAGCCGTGTGTGTGGAGCCGTGTGTGGAGCGGTGTGTGGAGCCGTGTGTGGAGCGGCGTGTGGAGCCGTGCGTGGAGCCGTGTGTGTGGAGCCGTGCGTGGAGCGGCGTGTGGAGCCGTGTGTGGAGCCGTGTGTGGAGCAGCATGTGGAGCCGTGTGTGGAGCCATGTGTGCAGCCGTGTGTGCAGCGGCGTGTGGAGCCGTGTGTGGAGCAGCGCGTGGAGCCGTGTGTGGAGCCGTGTGTGCAGCGGCGTGTGGAGCCGTGTGTGGAGCGGCGTGTGGAGCCGTGCATGGAGCCGTGTGTGTAAAGCCGTGTGTGGAGCGGCGTGTGAAGCCGTGTGTGGAGCCGTGTGTGCAGCGGCGTGTGGAGCCGTGTGTGGAGCCGTGTGTGGAGCGGCGTGTGGAGCCGTGTGTGGAGCCGTGTGTGGAGCGGCGTGTGGAGCGGCGTGAGGAGCGGCGTGTGGAGCCGTGCGTGGAGCAGCACGTGGAGCCGTGTGTGGAGCCGTGTGTGCAGCCGTGTGTGCAGCGGCGTGTGGAGCCGTGTGTGGAGCCGTGTGTGGAGCAGCATGTGGAGCCGTGTGTGGAGCCGTGTGTGGAGCGGTGTGTGGAGCCGTGTGTGGAGCGGCGTGTGGAGCCGTGCATGGAGCCGTGTGTGTGGAGCCGTGTGTGGAGCGGTGTGTGGAGCCGTGTGTGGAGCGGCGTGTGGAGCCGTGCGTGGAGCCGTGTGTGTGGAGCCGTGCGTGGAGCGGCGTGTGGAGCCGTGTGTGGAGCCGTGTGTGGAGCCGTGTGTGGAGCAGCATGTGGAGCCGTGTGTGGAGCCATGTGTGCAGCCGTGTGTGCAGCGGCGTGTGGAGCCGTGTGTGGAGCGGCGTGTGGAGCGGCGTGAGGAGCGGCGTGTGGAGCCGTGCGTGGAGCAGCACGTGGAGCCGTGTGTGGAGCCGTGTGTGCAGCCGTGTGTGCAGCGGCGTGTGGAGCCGTGTGTGGAGCCGTGTGTGGAGCCGTGTGTGGAGCGGCGTGTGGAGCCATGTGTGGAGCCGTGTGTGGAGCAGCATGTGGAGCCGTGTGTGGAGCCGTGTGTGGAGCGGTGTGTGGAGCCGTGTGTGGAGCGGCGTGTGGAGCCGTGCATGGAGCCGTGTGTGTGGAGCCGTGTGTGGAGCGGTGTGTGGAGCCGTGTGTGGAGCGGCGTGTGGAGCCGTGCGTGGAGCCGTGTGTGTGGAGCCGTGCGTGGAGCGGCGTGTGGAGCCGTGTGTGGAGCCGTGTGTGGAGCCGTGTGTGGAGCAGCATGTGGAGCCATGTGTGGAGCGGCGTGTGGAGCCGTGTGTGGAGCGGCGTGTGGAGCGGCGTGAGGAGCGGCGTGTGGAGCCGTGTGTGGAGCCGTGTGTGCAGCCGTGTGTGCAGCGGCGTGTGGAGCCGTGTGTGGAGCCGTGTGTGGAGCAGCATGTGGAGCCGTGTGTGGAGCCGTGTGTGGAGCGGCGTGTGGAGCCGTGTGTGGAGCGGCGTGTGGAGCGGCGTGTGGAGCCGTGTGTGGGCCGTGTGTGGAGCGGCGTGTGGAGCCGTGTGTGGAGCCGTGTGTGGAGCGGCGTGTGGAGCCGTGTGTGGGCCGTGTGTGGAGCAGCGTGTGGAGCCGTGTGTGGAGCGGCGTGTGGAGCCGTGTGTGGAGCCGTGTGTGGAGCGGCGTGTGGAGCCGTGTGTGGAGCAGCATGTGGAGCCGTGTGTGGAGCCGTGTGTGGAGCGGCGCGTGGAGCCGTGTGTGGAGCCGTGTGTGGAGCCGTGTGTGGAGCGGCGTGTGGAGCGGCGCGTGGAGCCGTGTGTGGAGCCGTGTGTGGAGCCGTGTGTGGAGCGGCGTGTGGAGCGGCGTGTGGAGCCGTGTGTGGAGCGGCGTGTGGAGCCGTGTGTGGAGCCGTGTGTGGAGCGGCGTGTGGAGCCGTGTGTGGAGCGGCGTGTGGAGCCGTGTGTGGAGCCGTGTGTGGAGCGGCGTGTGGAGCCGTGTGTGGAGCGGCGTGTGGAGCCGTGTGTGGAGCGGCGTGTGGAGCCGTGTGTGGAGCGGCGTGTGGAGCCGTGTGTGGAGCCGTGTGTGCAGCGGCGTGTGGAGCCGTGCGTGGAGCCGTGCGTGGAGCCGTGCGTGGAGCCATGCGTGGAGCAGCGCGTGGAGCCGTGTGTGGAGCGGCGGGTGGAGCCGTGTGTGGAGCCGTGTGTGGAGCGGCGTGTGGAGCGGCGTGTGGAGCCGTGTGTGGAGCAGCATGTGGAGCCGTGTGTGGAGCCGTGTGTGGAGCGGTGCATGGAGCCGTGTGTGGAGCCGTGTGTGGAGCCGTGTGTGGAGCCGTGCGTGGAGCGGTGTGTGGAGCGGCGTGTGGAGCCGTGCGTGGAGCAGAGCCTGCGTGAGCTGTGCCATGGGGAGGAGACACCCGCCACGGCGCACGGAGGCTGGGAGGTAAGGAAACGGGGAGCCCGCCCGGTGAGCCCAGCCGGCAGGGGCAAAGCCAGGGGGCGAACAGGGACGGCACACGCGTGGCAGTGAGACCGTGTGGGGCCTGGCGTTGCGGCCCACGGAGGGCTGAAACTGCCCGTCCCCTTCCCGCCCTCCCTGCCGCCTCCCGGGGGCCACACTGAACCCGACACTGGGGGTTGCGTTTCCGCCCAAGACTCTGGGTCTCCAGGCAA